TACTCGTCGATTGAGAGTTCCGGTGGGCATAGATCTTGTGACGCTATTACTTGATTTGGATAATGTGACGTCGTATCTAGATACTGTTGGAGGCTCTTATATGAGCCTTCCAGTTGGAGGGTACATTCCTTATTCAAGTTGGGCTGCGAGAGCTTCTTTATCCACCTGTTCTGGCCTGAACCAGAGAGAAATAACGAAAATTTGCCGGCACAATTGAGGATAACTTGAGCATGGGATTTGGGTAAGGAGAGGGGATTTCCGTAATGGGAAGCGGAGACAGACTTCGCAGAGGAAGCCATCCTGACTCGTTGTCCTGGATAGGCCTCCTCAAAAAATTCACGAAGGGGGTCATATTTAGATAAAGGATGGAGTTCTTGGGCAGCTTCCTGGTTCGTGGCGCCATGTTCCAGGAGAGAAACGACCGTATCTCTCCAGATCGCAAACGGCTTTGGACAATTAAGCTCAAAGACGATTGCCCTAGCCTGCTCGGGATTCTTGGGAAGTGGCTCCTCAAGCGGTGTGATGCGAAGCTTTTTAGCAGTTGCATAGAGCCGGCATCTATCACAGCGATATCTACGTCGACCTGCCTTCCCTCTATGTCGATCTTCAACCATTTCATGATCACAAGTTAGGCTTCTGGCTTCTTGTATCAATTCCTTGTACTGTGAATTGAGGGACTCTAGCTCTCTTCTCTGTTGAGTCCTTCTTTCGGTAGCCCATGCCTCGATGCGTGTCTTGAGCGCCCTCAGAGGAGCAGCGAGGGAGAGGTTGAAGAACCGATTTGCAAAAGACTGATGGGAGCTAAAGACAGATTTGTTACCAGACTTTGCTGCGTGCTTATGCCGGTCTTTAAGATACTCCTGTACTTGATGGAGTCGTCTCATTTGGTCGAAGTAAGGTAAGAGAAGTGGGTCGAGGATATCTTCGGGAATCTCTGGAGAGTATTCCAAAAGCACTCCACACCATCGCACTACTAGCTTGTCTAGAGCAACCCAAAGTTCCAATATACATAGATGCATGACGGATAAAGCTTCTGGGTTGCCATTATAGTGTGGAGAGGCAGTATTTCGATAATGAAATATGAGCTTGGAGAGAGGGAGACAATCATGCTCGGAGCGAGAAGGGGAGTCTACCCAAAATGGAAGGTGAAGTTCAATCCACCTCTCAAAGTCGAAAAGTGCCATGTCGAGCTCTTCTCGAGGTATCTTGAATGGTAGTTGATAGCGATCAGAGAATCTCCTCGCTACACAGGTGGAGTGGAGTTTTCGTTCCATTTCCTCTGCATCAAAGGTACTCTTTCCCTCGCCGAGTGTCTTTCGACGATCCATTACTTGGAGGAGGTGGTTGCGACTGTTCACAAAAGAGACGTTGGTGCAGCCGCTAAATGTTTTAGGATCGGGTGCGACCCATTGCACTCGCTTTTCCCATCGTCTCGTAATGAGGTCCCACCGTTGCTTTAGTACATTAGAGATTTCTTGCACAGTCTGTACCGCCTTTTGCAATGTCTTGTTGCTAGTGTCATTGACACAATTGCCCATCTTGAATAGTCGACGAGCCAGCTTTGCATTGGCAAAGTAGAGGAGATCGGATGTGAAAGACATAGGATAAGAGGCCACAGCATCCTTGAGTATAGATGCCATCAGAAAGGCCTGGAAAGCCTTGTAGCCGCTCCCATCTTTCAAACCCCATTCTGCGAGGGTGGTCTGCAGGCAGACACGGACGACCAACCACAAGGGACTGCGTCTCCATGGCTTTTCGGCAGACTTCCACAGAACATGATCGTCTAAGCGTTTGGTGATGAATTTGGTGGGAATGTCATAAGGCTCCCAAGGCTGGGTGCCACGGATGATTCCGGCCAACGCCTCAGAGATATACCGAGGGCTGGCGGTATCTCTAGTCTCATCGTGCCTGAATCCCCCCTTTTTGGTCTTTGGAGTCGCATCTTCCATCGTATTTGAGCTAAAGTATGACAATACGTTGGCCACGGTGGACAGGACGTCATCCGTTGTGGCCATCAATAGCCTGGGATTTGCAGGGTATTGCACGACTATCTTGTTGCATTCTTGCATGACTGTTTCCGCAGGTAAAGAGACCTCAAAGTATTCAAAGGTCAAGCGATCCTCTCGAATCTTGCGAAAGATGACTGCAGAATTTTGTGATTCAATGTATAGAGGGAGAACATCTGTGGCCATATCGAGCAGATTAGCCTGTGATATAACGGCGCAAACCCGACATGAACTAACCGTCAGCCAGCATGTGTTCAAGCACTACTTCAACTTCCTCCTTGTTGAGAAACTGCTGCCCGTGAAGAAACGCAACGTCCCCCAGCATTCCTATAAGACTTTCCCACCTCCTTAATGTTGACCTCTTTGTCTCTTTGCCCAGCGTATCCTGAAAAGACTGGGCTACTTGTGCAATGTACACCAATAGGGTTGCATCTTTTGAGGGACTACTGGGTTCGTATTTGTGTGGTAGTTTCATGGGTAAAAAGGCGTGATTGATTATGTAGGTCAGTTCTTCGAGAGTTAGACCCATCTCCTAATTCAGTTGAGTCCTAAGTTAGCCCTCGGAACGATGGTAGAATTGCGCAAAAAGGAAGTCTGACTAACCAATCGTAAATTCCGAGTTCCAGATTAGGAAGGATGCGAACGGACAATGTGGTTGCTGGAACGAAGCGTTTACTGTTGGCAGGCTCTACTTTCCACGCGATCACAAAGGGGACAGGGCCCCCTTTCGCACCACTCAAGCAGTCGAGGCCGGACCAGTAGCATGGTCGTAATGTTGGGATAGGTTTGACATCAATGTAGTAGGATAGAACGCGCAGCCCACTCCTATTTCCCTGCAAGTTAGCTAACAGAACCGGTACCTTATGAGTCAAGGTGTCAGGCGATTCATTTTTCCTTATTATGATCTGCGCTCACTGCGAGGTAGGGCCGGTGGCTAATAATCGACTAGGAGAGCGCCGGATTGCGAGAACGGAAATTGCGGGCCCAAGGTCTCGCATCTTGAAGCCTGATTGTGATTCATGTGTCGAAAAAAGGCAGAGACATTGTGCGATACTCTGATGCTGATCCTGATCGTCGGCTGTCGACTGTTCGACCGTTTGTCGGACCTTGCAAACCCAAGTTGATCAGTCTCGGAAGGACGTTGTTGAAGCTTGAGAAAATGCTGCATATTCCAAGAATTCTCGCCGAGTGGATGGTATGCCACGGAAATGTTGTTAGGACCAAGCTCTCGAAAGATATCCTCAACCTTGCCGATGACTGCGAGGAGGTGACCTTCAAACGCGTCAAATCTCGCGTTCTGCACTAATATCTGGACTTTATCCCACTTCAAAATGCGGGTCCAAAGCTCACTTTCTTCAATACGCGTAAGTCTATTGTACATGACATAGGCAATCCCGCAGCCCAAGCTAATCATTGAGTTGGACCCAACCAGGTTGACAGGATTTACTTTCTTTCAACTCTGCTATTACATAGGAGACGCAGTGATTCCATCGTCGCCGCAGTTATCTGGCGCTAGCAGAGGAAACTTTGGAAGCTTCGCTTCCGTCTGACCATTTCGATCAATGTAACGAGGACAACTCCCCGCCGCGGCGCCAATTTTTGCGTCATCAAGGAATCACCGAATGGAACTGTATAGCTGATTTCGACGGGCTCCACCTCTGTCCTGTACTGGACTTTACATTGTCACACCTACGGTCTTACTGGCTTGATCTGTTATGCTGTGCCTGGACCAATCTAGAAAACACAAAGCGCTGATGACGTTCTGATAGGGTCTTTTCCTTCTACTGCCCTGCTTATAGACACCGCGTCTAATATATCTATTTTCAACTATGACCTCTCTGCGCATGGCCGAAATGAGGATAATGCAGAGATGAGATCCAACGGACCGCGCAGAGCGGGGACA